CAGAAGTTTTGAACTACAATTCCCATCAGCCTCAGCCAGCATGGAGGTGACTGGGGCTAATGGAAGTCCAAAACAGCTGGAGGGAACCAGGTTGCCAAACCCGGGCCTCAGCGCCTTCTCTCTTGCCTGTTCTGCCACCTCAGAATTTGATCCCTGACCATTCCAGACTGCAGAACTCCTTCTGTCCCACTTGGGATGAAAGCTTGCACCCCTGCCATCCAAGAACCAGCAGCCTGGATCCTGGCTCGTTGTGTCTTAGTGGGCCACAAACTGAACAAACCTAGACTAGAAGATTTTATGGTCCAGTCTGGTGCTTGTATTTATGTTATGTATGCTAGAATGCATTCTACATTGCTTGTGGTTCCCGTCGCTTTTTGAGCTATTGAGGATGTCCTGCACAAAAGAAAAAGAGAGAGTAAAAAGATAATGATCGTATTGCTAGTATCTGAATCCTGACCTCAATTCTTCAGCCAGAAAAGCCAAAAATTAATCTAATCTTTTGGAGACCCCAGATCATCAGTGCTGCCTATCTAATGCCTATTTTTTCCCTTAAGCAAAAGTATCACTATATTAAGTACAAAAAACGAAGCACAGAGAGAAAGAAGCCATTTTTCAAACAAAGCCATTGTTCACACATTTCACATTAGATTTAGATCATTCCCCCCCCTTTAAAATAAAGAGAAGGCAAGTGAGAATCCACTAGCAATGGATGAAAAAGCCGTGCATCCCTGGGAGGCATACAGATAAGAGATTTCAGGCAGCATTTTCCCAACACAAAAATCCCTTTGAATGAGCTCAGCAAATGTCTTCATGTATGTCATAGCAACTACACTAAACCCAAACACACAGGCAGAAAGTGCATTAAAATTCTGACATTCCTGCTGGCAGATAAGAAGTTTCCTAGGGTTTTGAAGACAGGAGCAGCAGTAATTTGTCAATAATGAGGCACCTTCACACACTCTTAATCAAATGTACAAGAGGCAAAGCTTGAAAATAGCCATTGAGGGCTTTGTTTTGCTTGTTTGTTCTCCTCCTGCAGATACTGAATCACACCCAGCCAAGCTGTACCAAGCCACCTTCTATCCGGCTCAGTGCAGATACAATTCTTGGGATAATCAGGAGTCAGGTGTTGTGATGTTGACAGAGCTGGACTAGACTGGAGAGACCCAGTGAAATATACTCAGAGTCAAGCATGGATTTCAGACTCTTTATTCAGCTCATAGTGGTGAGGAGGAATGGAAGTTCCCCCAGAATGTCTGCTTTATATACATTATTTACACAATGGGCCTCACGTGATTGGCTAATTCCGGGATTCACCTGTAGGCCAATCAGGTTGCAGATTCACTTCCACCTGGAGCTGGATTGGATGGCTCCTGTGGACCCATCAGACTGCTGCATTCTGGACCCTATTGTTCTAGGACCAATCAGACTGCTGCATTCTGGACCCTATTGTTCTAGGACCAATCAGACTGCTGCATTCTGAATTCTACTATTCTAGGACCAACCAGACTGCTGCCTTTTGGATCCTATTCAACTCAGTACATAACACCCAGGTGCAAACCTCACTGGGTAACTTGGGGCCAGTCCCTCTCTATCGGTTCAACCTACCTCACAAGGTTGTTGTGGAGATAGAACAGGGTGGGTAGGAAGAGAACCATTTGCTCTGCCTTGAGCAAATGGGAAGAAATGTGGCATTTAATGGTGGTGGCTCCTCATATTTGGAACTCCCTCCCTATTGAAATGTGCCTAGACCCATCTCTCTCTCTACGGTTTTAGGCAGTTAGTTAAATGACAGCTTTTTCCCAGTGGGTGTTTGGAGCAGATAATCCGACTGCTGCTGTAATTGTCCTTCTTTGATCCATTATGCGTTTTTAAGGATTGCATTGTATCTTGATCTTTGTTTTGTTTAAAACTGCTTGAGCAAAGGGAATTGCATAGAGATCACGGAAATAAAATAATAATAAGTTTGGGGTCAGCAGGCCCATCTCGCCCCCCATCACTTCATCTCTATGGGCTGTAAGGCTCCCCTGCATACCCAAGCTAGCATGTGCTGAGAAAATGTAGGTTAGGGATCACAGAGAAGATTTATGCAGAAGAGCTGATCAATCTATGCAGAGTGGTGGAATGCCACCATCCGCTCCCAAATCCACTTCTCACCTGCAGAAGAGTCTTCTGCACAGAGTTCACCCACCTTCCCTGAATGAGCAAGCAAGGGAAAGAGCAAGGTGGAGCAGGTAGGAGCTTTCCCTCCTGGAGGGATCGTGAATTGCAAGCACAGAAGGAATGGCAAGCAAACAGGCAGGGACAACAGAGGCAGGAGAAAAGATGGACACACTCAGAGTGAGGTGGAGCAGGGCACTGAGAGCATATGCAGATTCTGTTCCTTTAAGTCAGCAAAGAGGCTTTGCCAACACACCAAAGAAGCATCAAGACAAATAGCCTTTTGAGACACAGGTTTCATTTAGTAAGCAAAACACGTTAGAGGATCTGAAACAAAGTGAATGAACCAGTCTGAACGAACCAAATTAAATTTGTCTGGGCAGGCGATTTTGTAATAAATGGGGAGGGTTCTGTCCCCCCAATCTCCTGGGCTGCACGCTGTGGCCATGCAGCAAGGTTTAGAAGAAAACTCTCCTGCTACAGCACACACCTTGGGGCTGAGCCTGACAGGTGTGGTGCAGCCCTGCTGGCCGGCGTTCACCCAGGTGGGCTTTCCAGGTGTAAAGGGCATCCCCAGTACCCACAAAGGACTAGCCAGAGGTAGGTGGCTGAGCAGCCCTCTAGCCCAATAATGCCTCGGGTCTTCAAGTAGCTGTTTTTTTCAAGCCTGTTACCTGCTCGGAGGAAATGCCAGACGAGCCAAGTTGCAAAACTGCCTCTCCAACATCCAACAGTGCAAAGTAGGCAAATGAAAGGTGAGTCCAAAGGCCGGTCGGAGCTCCCCACACAAATTCCTACTCAACCCTCAAGCGTGACTAAAAGGTGGAAGAGTGGAAAGGTGTGGGGTTTGCACCCCCAGGCCTGTGCACTTGGCAGGGGTCTACACGGCCTACCCCCAAGTATGCCACATCAGCACTTCATAGAATTGTAGAGTTGGAAAGGACCCCAAAGACCATCTAGTCCAGCCCCCTCCAGTGCAGAAAATGTCAGGATCTCCGCTCGGCCAAGCTGATAAAGCTCATTTTCTTCCCCCGAGTCCTTCAGAATTGCCTCCCGACGTGTTTAACGACCTGAGCCTTTGATAGGGCTCCAAGGCATGTTCCATTCAGCAGAGTTTCCAGCACAGGAAAGAGACGAGAGGTTTGGGCTACATTGCAAAGAGTTTTATTATCCTAACTACGCAGACAAAAAAACACATCCTCTCTCTATGAAAGCAGAGAGCAACTGAACAAAGGAACAAAGGAAACAGGAAACCACTAATGTCACATCCCGTCTCTCTTCTCCCATGAGACTTCCAACAGTCTGGAAGCCCTGGAATGTAAACAGAGTCCTGTGACTCCAAGCAGCTGCTCAGTGGCAAAACAGAAACTAACAGGAATATGCAGCTGTCCCATATTGAACCTGAAACCTTGGCATTATTAGCACAACCCCCTAACCAATTCTAACCATTAACTTCCCCCATCGCCCAATTGGCCCCAGGTGCCACAGCACACCTCACCCAGACCAAACCATTTCTCTCCTCTTCTAGGAGCGGGACATGTGGAAAATGTACTGTTCAGGGATGGGGGCAGTATTTTCCCAATCAGGTGACAGCCCTAGTAACAATATGGGTGGCTATAGTACAGTCCTCTAGCTCTCATGTACACCATCAATCGATACACCTGTTCTCAAAGAAAAAAGAAAAAGTATTATTCTACAAAAATCACATTTTGGTCAAAGAGCTCCCTTACAACTTTCCTGAAGCTACTGCAGAGCAACTCCGCTACAAGGCAGAAACATGACTCGCGCCCCAATACTTTTCGTAGCCCCCACCATCCATCCCAGAGTTCCTTTCAAGCAAATAAACCAGCAATTCCTTCAGCGAAGGTTCAATGGTGCATTCCCCCTGACTTCAAAGGAGACTCGCCATACAGCTGTAGAATAACAATTCCCCAAAACAAGGAAGCTTTGAGAGCAGAATTGACCGAACTCTTCTTCACCCACTCCACAGAAAGGTCTCTGATGTATACATTTTCCATGAGGGGCTTTCATTTCCCATTGCAAAAACAACAACAAGGAGTAAACTTGCCCTGCGCAATAAATAATGACAGCGGTGGAGTGTGCTTGAAAATAATAGGATTCTGCTGTTGCTGCCTTCTGACCTGTGTGAGTTCCACCCTGGATATATCAAAATACAGCTTCTGTCTTAGCAGAGACAGATAGAAAGAGTACAGGGGGGTCTCTGAAGATTCTCATACAAATCAACCTGATGTTCACCTCTCAGACTAACGTGTAGATTGGACACCAGCTGCTGCATCTCCAGAGAAAGTCAGAGAGGCTCAGTGAGGTGTAGTGGTTAGAGTTGGACCTGGGAGGCCAGGGTTCAACCACCATCCCACCACCCATTACGCTTAATGGGTGACTTTGGGCTAGTTCAAAGCTTCATCAGCTGTGAATAAATTGGGGGACCTGGCTGTCCTTACCTACAGAACACAGGCCACTTACAGAGATAGGAGTTCAGCAACCCCTTCCTATTTACCAAAGCTCCTTTCCCCCTACTAGAAAAACAAGATTAAGCTCCTTTGGTAACCATGGGGCACCATCATGAGACAATGCACATCCACGTGTACCAAACCATTGCACTGGGGTTAGAAGTTCTCAACCTGTGGTTGGCGACAGTGGTGTCGCAACGGGGGGGGGGTAGGGGCAGTGTGCCCTGGGTGCCATGTCTGGGGGGGGTGACAAGAAGGCACCCCGTGGGGGCTCACTGTGGCATGAGAAGCCATCACGGCGCCACAGTTGCATGTGGAGGATCCTCCGTTCGCAGCTACAGCCGCAAGCAGAGGATCCCAGTGCCAGCGGCAAACTGCTATGTACAGCACATGTGTGGTGTTACACACATGCACTGTACGTAATGACACCACACATGCGCTGTACATAGCGGTTTGTCGGCAGCGGCACTCGAGCACCATATGGATGGCAATGGGATCCCTCCATCGCCACTACAGCCGCGAACGGAGGATCCTTTGTTAGCGGCTGCAGCCACAAGCAGAGGATCCTGGCACCGTCCGTACGGTGCTGGAGCGGCGCTGCCGGCAAACTGCTACGTACGGTACATGCGCCATACATAGCGACACCGCACATGCACCGTACATGGCTGTTTGCCGCCCCAGGTGTCACAATGCCTTTGTTTGCCCCTGGTTGGCGAAAAGGGCTGTGAAGCAATTAATAATATCTGTACTTGGACCAACTATTTGATTTACTTTTTCTCGCTGAGACCACTTTGATAAAGGTTGGGTTTGTCAAGCAGGCTTCGGCTTGGAGCTTTTTCATAATGCAGCAGTAGCTCAGTCTACAGATCTCCACACATGCTAAAAATGTTCCAGTTAAAGCACCCATGGTTTTCTTAATATTTTGTTGGAACATTATTATTATTATTATTATTATTATTATTATTAACTTTTTTAATATGGACAAAGCCGATAAACCAATACAAACCAATCAAAACATTCCAAAGGTCAAGAGAGAGAAAATGCACATGTGAATATTGCATCCTCATTACACACATCGGAAAGAATATATTATATTCTATAAATGCCAGGCATACAAGATTGATTGCAGCAGCAGACTTGCAATGCTAACCACCACCTTTCTTAAACCTTGGAGGGAGTCGGTTGTATGATATATGAATAAAGAAATTTGTAATGTTGAGATAAAGTCCAGAATAGCATATCTCTCCAAAAAGGAAAATGAACAGTTGGTCTAGGTCAGGTGTCTTCAACCTTTTCATACCCAGGACCCACCTTTCATCCAAACTTGCATTTGGGGACCCAATTCTTAATCTTTTAACATATATTTGCATGGTGGCAGTTTTGGCCCACCTTGGATCAGGCCCACCAATTGAACACCAGTGATCTAGGTTCTTCTGGTGAGGCATTAATAAAAGTAATGAAGGGAGAACAGTCATCATGAAATTCATCTCTGGTTAATGTTGCCTTTGACTATTCTGCAGTTATGCTTGTCTACAAGCAAAACCTTCCAGACTCTCTCGTACTAGTTTTGCATAGTTAACAATCTTTTATCCATAAGAATGTGATCTCCATGTGGGCTGCTAACTGGAAATGGATTATTAATGGCTTGAATAACATATTAATGGCTTGAATAACATATCTTAATTTGCTTCTCAAATAACAACAGCAAGGCCAAGCCTAGGTCTAAGGCCCATTATTTCCTTAATACACTGTTGGTTTTGATGATAATGCCACTGCTGTGTGGATGGGTGGGAGTTTATTAAGTGGTCCTCTGAGACCACCAGCAATTTTAAAGTGGTCCGCAGTGGAGGGAGGTTCAGAAACACTGCATCATCATCCTCATCATCACCATCATTTTATTTGTATGCTGCCTTCCCACAGTTAAAAACAATGCTCAAGGCGGCTTACAACATGACAAGATTTACATAATTACAAAAGTCATAAACAATAAATAAACCACATCAAAAAAATACACAGCCAAATGGAAATCAATTTCCATATAAATCAAAATCTAAAACTAAGAATACAGCATTAATATCCCAGTTTAAAATGACATAGGTAAAAAATAACAGCAATTTAAAGAACAAAAACAAAAACGGAGCCCTCTCTGCCCAGCAGCAGCAGTGGCAGCAGTCCTTTATGGAACCCGTCAGGCCCTGCCCTAACCCCGGTGGTGAGTGGCAGGACTGGGGCCTTCAGGCGCTGAGCAGGGGAGTCAGGCTGCATTGTTCTTAAACTCTGATATGTAATGCTTCTTCGTCATCAGGATGGAGGATAGAGAGAGGTGTGAGCATGTGTGGAAAAATTAGCCTACGCTACAAATGTAAAATTTACATTGGCAGCGGCAGAGGAAGGCTCTCGGGCACCTGGGGCGGGCGGGGCGAACCGCCCATAGGGTCAGCACGGGGGCATGCGGCACCCTTAGGGACAGCGCCCACCATGGGGTATCAACTGCCTTACAGATGGGGGGGAGGCAGCCAGCCGGACAGCGCAGAGCCGGTGGGCGCTGAGAAGCATGGCTTGTGCGCGCTGCAGGCCCCGCAATGAGTGCCGCTGGCAATTTTGTCACACACCCCCGGCAGGGTGGCACCTGGCGAGGTTCGCACCCCCCTTCCTATGTCCTTGTACATTGGTTGCTCCAGCTACTTTTGCCTCTGGGGCTGATGTCAGACATACCCCTCAACCATCCTGATTTAAGCGGGACATCCCAGAATGACAGAAGCCATTCAGGCTTCTCATCGGATCCCGGAATGTTTTTTGGTCTGTTGGTCTGGTGCGAATCAACCAGCTCACGCCAGAGCTCAGGACCAAAAAAGGAGCACCCCAATTTTGATCAGCAGAATGTTGGAGGGTACGGTCACATGGTCCTTGGAAGGTTGCCTAAAGGGGCTCAGTCTGAAAATAAAACCCCCACTCCTACTCTAAGGGCAAAAAAACGAAAAACAAAATGAGGTTATGGCAGAGGTCAGCAACCTTTTTCAGCCATGGGCCAGTCCACCATCCCTTAGACCATGCAGTGGGCCGGACTATATTTTGGGAAAAAATAATGAACAAATTCCTATGCCCCACACATAACCCAGAGATACATTTTAAATAAAAGGACACATTCTACCATAGCTGTCAACCGTCCCTTATTTGGCGGGAAACTCCCTTATCCCAGCACCGTGTCCCACTGCTGTCCCTTATTGATGATGTCCCTTAAATTTCCCAGGTTTCATGCTCGCCCGGCTTGGGAGGGAAGCAGCGGCTTGGGGTCCTCCGCCGCGAAAGAGAGCGAGCGCTGGTGCCGTCGTCCTGGCACGAGGAGTTCCATCGGCCCTTCCCCGCCCAAGAGAGGGGGAGAGAGACACTCGCCCATGCCACCCGTGAGCCCGGAGGTGGCAGCGGTGGTGGCAGCTGAGGAGGCAGCCTGAGGGAGGAGGAAGAGGAGGGGATGGAGAGGGACGCAGAAGGGCGGTGCTTCAGCGGCCGCGGCCGCGCTACAACCACTCATGCCGGATTGACAGCATCTGTCAATCCTACCAATGTATGTAACTCTTCACAACAGCAAAATCCCTTCTTTTGGCTGCTGGTCCCTTATTTTTGAGGCTGCTGGTCCCTTATTTTCAAATCTGTAAGTTGACAGCTATGCTCATGTAAAAACATGCTGATTTCCAGACCGTCCGTGGGCTGGATTGAGAAGGCGATTGGGCCGCATCCGGCCCCCGGGCCTTAGGTTGCCTACCCCGGGTTATGGCATTCCAAACTAGCTACACCGTTTGACAAATCCTTTTATTTATTGGTACAGGCATGTGACTTTCTGAAGCACCTAATGCTTCCTCTGCATTTTGTCAGAAGTTGAAGCAGTTTTGAGGAGACCTGGTATGTTTACACAGGCAGGGTTGAACTGGGGCAGCCAGCGCAGGAAAGGCCGCCCTCCTCCTTCCCCAAATATGCCACCTTCTTTCTCCAAGCACTAAAAGGAGACCGAGGGCATCCTCTGGTTTCACAGAGAAGATTAACAAAAGGTCAGAAAATGTTTGATCTCTGTCATTGGTACAGTCAGGCTGAAAGCTGAGCCATCGCTTAAATATTTACAGGCAAGCTCTGCAGCCACAAGGTGAAAGGTGTTATGTAAATCCTTCTCCACACAAAACAGGGGGGGGTAAGAAAGAAAATCAGAAAGAACAGGATAGCACTGCCGCTGCCCCAGTTCAACCCTGCCTGTGTAAACATACCAGGTCTCCTCAAAACTGCTTCAACTTCTGACTACACACCCAGGAACTCAAACAGACCCTTAAGAAGCTGTATTAGACTAGCTCATCAAACCCTTAAACCCCTTACATTTGGGGGGGGGGACGGGACGGGACTTGAAAGGGGCAAAAGTGTTTGCAACATGATAGGCCACTGTTATAAGAAAAAAACTGCTCCTTTTCCCTTATGGGGTACCCAAGAGCCCATCTAGAGTCCTTTAGTAGGTTCTCTATCGGTAGGAGAAAATAACAGAGGCCAAGCAGAGAATACAGTGGTACCTCGGGTTACATACGCTTCAGGTTACAGAGTCCGCTAACCCAGAAATAGTACCTTGGGTTAAGAACTTTGCTTCAGGATGAGAACAGAAACCGTGCGGCAGAGAACAGAAATCATGCAGTGGCAGCCGGAGGCCCCATTAGCTAAAGTGGTGCTTCAGGTTAAGAACAGTTTCAGGTTAAGAACGGACCTCCGGAATGAATTATGTACTTAACCCGAGGTACCACTGTACTGAGAAGCAAAGCAGCTCGTAAGCCTGATCTTTCTTAAAGCAGTTGCAACAGGGTGCTCCCCCCACACACAGGAGGGGGAGGAACCGAGAACAATGGTGGGCAAACTCTTATATAAACTGTTGAAATTCCCTGCCCTAGAGCTCAAGACCACCCCTATACATACATCACAGAAGGGGTGTAGCCCAAGACCAGCCCCAATACATCATACATACATCAGAGAGGGGGCCAGCAGGAAACCTGTGGATGGGTTTACAGTGGTGCCTCGCAAGACGAAATTAATTCGTTCCACGATTTTTTTCGTCTTGCGATTCTTTTCGTCTTGCGAAGCACGGTGTCGGGAAAGTTTTGGAAAAGCTTCAAAAATCACCAAAGTCTTCAAAAACCTCAAAAAAGGGGGGTGCTTGGGAGGGAGAGGCGGGCGCGGGGCGTGGGGGGAGGCGGGGCGGAGGTTGCTGCCTGAGCCCCCAGGATCGGTTCGGCTCGCCTTGCTCCGACCCTTTGCACTACAGTCGGCGCCGTCTTGCTGCTGCTGCTGCTGCTGTCACCACGGTAGTCAAAACTCCTACCGGCCTAAAAGTTGTCTGGTGCAAAATCCCTTCTGCAGCAGCAGCCCGAAAGAAAGCGAGAGCGCCAGCCAGCCAGCCGCCCACCACGGGCAGGAGGGAGGGAGGGAGCGTCGG